AGGAGAAAGGGAGACCGCAGCCCCCCATGTCTGGGACTCAAACTACCGTCAGCCATGTGGAAATCCAGCGCCTTTTAACCACCACGCCACTTACTGGTCCCACAGCTTTTTTTCTTTTTTAGTAATTATCTTATTTAACTTTACTTATTTATTTATTTTTAATTTGAGCAGAGAGGAACAACGGGAGAAAGAATGAGAGAGAGAGAGAGAAAGAGAAAACAAGCTGCCAGGACCGGGACTCCAACTGCAATTAGCCATGCGTGAGTCCAACACCCTTAACCACCACGCCACCTGCCAGTCCCTGTACCACGGTTTCTTTAACCTCGCCCCTGTTGGCAGTTCATGTGCCTGCAGCGCTTTACTGTCACAAAGGAAGCTAGAACGAGCGTCCTGTTCGTGTGTCTGTCCTAGCCTGTACGCATGTTTCTCTAGTGTCCAGAAGAAACCGCGACCTTGGAGGGTACACACAGTCTTAGCCGTGAGAACAGCTACCACTTGGGAAATGCCACGGGCCACAAGCACTTCCCTGCAAGCAGGGGGAGACACTGCTTCCTCCCACCACCGATCTGATTACCCATCGGATCACACAAACCACAGCAGGATGTGAGAGAGACCATAGCTGGGTCTAGAGGAAGATGAGAAAACTCGATTTTTAAAACATGATATCTTGCACATTTTTAGAAACTGTTAGGTACTGGTCTTCTAGAAAATGTCTAACAAGTGTCTCAAAAATCCTCCTTCCCCTGTGACGTGCGTCCAGGGAGCCCCAGAGGGCTGGTGGGGGACACATCATGAGAAGCCAGCAGATGCGTGACCCTCCAAGGGCTCCAAACCACATCCAAGCTGCCTACACCAGCCTCTCCGCAGCAGTTGGGGTTCAGTGCCCAAGAGGGGACAGAGCCTGCGGAGCTCACCAAAGATGGAAGTTGTCATGGTCCATGTCAAGCCTCCCCACTCAAGAGCCCAGGGCATGCCTCTGGGGCCTGGTCACCCAAAAAAAGTTGAACATACCAATGGCCTCGTCATCCAATCACAACACTTACCCCGTACTAAACTGATGCCAAGGACTAGAGCTCACAAAGGATTTGGAACACTGCAGAAGGCATGCACGTGGGTCTAGCAGTTGGCGTAATGGATATGTCACTGGACTCCCATGTAGTCGACCACAGTTAGAGTCCCGGGCCCAGTGGCTTAAACTCACGCCAGGTGTGGCCATCCTCCCAGGGAGGGATTTCTCTCTTTCTGTCTCTATGTCTCTCTCGGTCTGTCTGGCGAGCGCACGCGCCCTATAGCAAAAACCTCTCCAAAAAAAAAGAATGGACTCAAATCTCAGCCCTTCCAATGATTCTCACTGAGGGACGCTAGGTAAGTCACTTCACTCTGATCTGTTTTCTCAGCTGTGAAATGGGGATGACAATGAATTCACACAGCTCAACTGTCACAAAAACCTACTGCGGCTTAGAACTCTGGATCCGGAGCACAGAAGCCCTGACTCAGAATTCCAGCTCTGACACTAATAACTCTTTGAGACCTGGGATGCCTCTCAGAGCCTGCTTTTTATAATCTGTAAATGAACAAAACGACCCCATCATAGGAATTTTGAGACGATTCAGAAGATAATGTATGGGGGCCAGCAAGTGGCATGGTGGTTAAGTAGGTAGACTCCCACATGGCTGACTGTGGTTCAAGTCCCGAACCTGGAGGCTTCCTTTCTCACTTTTCCCCTCTCTTTGTCTCTGTCTCTGTCTCTGTCTTTCTCATGTGAGACTCCCATTCCTATAGCAAATGAAAAAAAATAATAAAGTCAAATAATTTTTAAAAAAATTTTTTTAAATACAAAGAAAAGATCATCTATTTGCATATCTAACAGAGTCAGGCCGCTTTGTTCATTTTTTGGAAACAACTATGTGTATATATGTGTATGTGTGTGTATCTGATCATAAACCTACATGACGAAGATTATTGTTTTTATTATAGAAACCCATATAAAAGAGTTGAAATTAGGGGCCAATAGATGGCTTAATGGTTACATCGCTGGACTCCCATGTAGTCGACTGTGGTTCGAGTCCCAGACCTAGTGGCTTAAAACTCATGCCTGGTATGTGTGCGTGTGCACCAAAAATCTTAAGAGGAGAATGGAGGAGAAGGGATTGCAGTATGGCCACCTGCCCTGCAGGGTGATTTCTCACTTTCTGTCTCTCGCTCTCTCTGGCAAGCACATGTGCCCTATAGCAAAAACCTCTATTAAAAAAAAAAAATAAGAGTTGAAATTAAACTTTAAAAAAAAAAAGAAAAGAATTATCATATTCAACTTTTTATTTATGTATTTATTTTTAATTTGACCAGAAAGGGACAGAGAGAGAGAGAGAACAAAAAAGCAAGCCGCCAGGTCCAGGACTTGCACCTCAGTCAACCACATGAGAATCCAGCGCCCTTAACCACCATGACACCCAACTGCCCCAAAGTTAAACTTTTGCCAATTTTTTTTTTTGAGAGACCATGCACTCTCTAGAGAGACAGAGACAGAAAGTAAGAAATCATCCCCTGTGGGCATGGTCATGCCACAGTCCCTTCTCCATTCTCCTCTAGGGATTCTGGGTACACACACACATGTACCTGGCACCAAGTTTTAAACAGCTAGGTCTGGGACTTAACCACGGCTGGCCACGTGGTAGTCCTGTACCCCAACTACTACACCACCTTCTGGCCTGATTACCAAACATTTTAAGATTTTATATATCTCTTTCTTCGGTGAGAGGCAGAGAAACAGAGAGGGAGAGACAATCGCCTCAAACAGGATCCCCACGCTGCAATCCACCCTCAGCCTCGGTCAGCCCAGATCATGGCACACAGGCAGGCCGGGTGTGCTCAGGGAGGTACAGGACACAAACTCGGGACATTCCCCACGTGGGTATGGCTGCACCACTACAGTGCCACCTTGAGGCCCCCACTTTTACAGATCTGAGGACAAACCTTAACTATCTAACTGCACTGTATGTAGAGGAGAGGTGGATTTCTCCTACACATTCTAAATTCTATCCTCATGAACAAAAGCAACTGCTCATGGGAACAGGAGGTTAAAGCTACGTTGCAGAGCTCCAAGTCAAACCCTACAGAAAATGGGTACAGGCCAAGGTCCCTGCCCTCCCTACCCACATGGCTGGGAAGCCCAGTGCTCCGGCCAGGTGTGACTGATCCCCTTACCAGGTAGACAGGGCTTCGGTTGTTATCCATCGCAGGGATGCCAGTGAGGACCTCTGCTAACACCTGGGAAGAACAGAACACGGACTTAGCACAGTTCAGACACTCACGTACAAGGTCAGGCAGAAGATTCTGGCCACGACAGAGGCTAATTGTCAGTAGCAAACAGGGCTCCAGGCTGGGCTCTGCCACTGCCAGCAGGAACACTCGCTAACCTCTGGGCGCGGAAGCAGCACTCAACAAGGATGCCTCCAACTAAACACGTCCCCAACTGCCAGTGGGAGGCGCTAATTAACTGACAGTGATGCAGGAAAGCAGGATTTAAAAGCTGCATGTGTGTGGGGCCGGCGGGGGGCGTGGTGGTTAAGGTGCTGGACTCCCACATGGCCAGCTACAGTTTGAGTCCTGGACCTGGCAGTTTGCTTTCTCACTTTCCCTCTCTCTCTGGTGAGCACATGTGCCCTATAGCGAATTAAAAGTAATAAATAAAGTGGGACCAGCAGTTGGTGTAATGGCTGTGTTGCTGGACTCCCACG